GCCCCGCGCCTTCAGCGGTGCGTCCCGGAGCGAGGGGGAGAATCTGAAGCGGGGGATGGGCGGCATTTGCTTCTTGCCTTTCCGCACGCTGACGCCCTCCACGCAGAGGTCAGACCCATAGACCGGCGGCAGGTCCACAGCAGACTGAGGGGGGCGAGGGGGCGAGGTCAGGAGCGCTGGCTGCCCTCCCCAGGGACCAGCGCCCCTTTTCCTGGGCAGCCAGGCAGGCATCAGGCCACAAGGGGAAGCACTGGCTACACTGCCCGATGCTGGGCCGCCCGCCCTCCAGGGAGGCCTCGGTGCAGGGTCCACCCTCAGAGCCAGCAGCCGGCACAGAGCCCCCCGCCCCCATGGCCTACGGAGGCCCCTGAGGGTGCGATTTCCCCGAAGAGAAGAGGGGGGCCCAGCAAGAATCGGCAGGGAAGGACCCAGTGGCCATGGGCGCCCCACAAGCCCAGTGACCCCTTGCTCGGTTGGCATGAGGGGCCAGCCAGCGGGGGCAGGGCCAGGCCCTGGGAGCACCCCGAGTTCGGAGCCTGGGTCCCCCGCCCCCGCACCTGCTTCCACAGCAGCTCGAAGTTGCCGACGTCGCAGTTGCGGTCGCCCTTGCGATCCAGCACCACCTTGATGGTGTCCTCCTGCACCTGCGCGCACAGCTGGGCGGTGACGGGCGTGGAGGCGTGCATGGTGGGGCTGGAGTTGATCTCGATCAGCCAGGGCTTGAAGTCGTGGCCCAGGATGAAGTCGGCGCCGTAGAGCTCGAAGCTGCTCTTACGCGGCTCCACGTGGTCCTGGGCCACCTTCATGGTGTTGGCGACGGCCTGCTTCATGGCGGGGTAGATGATGCTGCCCCACACCGAGCCGCGGCCGCGCTTCTGCAGGTACTCCTGGAAGCGCGCGCTGGTCCACATGTTGTGGTAGGGCAGCAGCGGGCTGCGGCCCTTGTCGATCTTCAGGTGCTTCTGGATGGAGTTGTTGCAGAGGTGGATGGCCCTGCAAGGCCAGGCCACGGTCAGGGCCGCCCCCCGAGTCCCTACCCAGCCCCAGCCCCCAAACCCACATCCCAGCTCCACCTGGGACCCCGCCCCCTGGCACCAGGTCTCTGCGGGAGGGACGCCAACAGCTCCCCGTCCTGCCCGGGGGACCCACAGACTGCACCAGGGCCAGGTCAGAAGCCCATGCCCGGCCGGCGTGGCTCAGTGGTTGACGTAGGAACCAGGAGGCCACGGTTCGATTCCCGGTCAGAGCACATGCCCGGTTGAGGGCTGGATCCCCAGTGTGAGGCGTGCAGGAGGCAGCCCATCCATGATTCTCTCTCATTAGGAACCAGAGGCCACGGTTCGATTCCCGGTCAGGGCACAGGCCTGGGGTGCAGGCTCGATCCCCAGTGTGGGGCGTGCAGGAGGCAGCCGATCTGTGATTCTCTCTCATCACTGATGTTTCTACCTCTCTCTCCCACTCCCTTCCTCTCTGAGATCAATAAAAAAATATTTATATTTTAAAAATCCCACCAGCCCGGGCCACCAACTAGGAACCTCCCCGAGCCTCAGTTTCCCAATGTCCACGGCAATAAGACGGGGCTTTGAGGGGCTGGTCTGGGGAGAAGGATTCACCAACTAACCTTTCCAGTTTGTTCACTTAGACTCGGGCCTTGTTCTAAACAGAGTAATGTCTCTGGGAACTCTGAACCCCAGGGGTGCTCTCAAGGTCACGTCTGTGCACGTGTGTCCGGGATCCCCGCCTGGTCCAGGCCCCGCCCCTGCACCCACCCCCATGGCCGTGGGTAAGCTTTACTCCGTGAGGCACAAGAGGGAGAAGAAAGAGACTCAGGCGCACGGAAGAGTCTGGAAGCTGCCCTATTGCAGGTGTTAGGGTGACGGACCCTCGGGGCTCACCCCGTCTGGCAGGGCCACGCCTGCGCAGAAACGATTTCAGGGACCCCTCACAGCCTGGGGTCCCAGATGGAGAGCGGGGCACAGGGACGGGGGGTGCTTCCAGGATTTTCTGGAGTCACACTTTGTGGGCGTGCCGAGCACCGGCTTTGGGGGACAGGGGCCGGGGCCTCCCCGCTGTGCATGAGGTGGTGGGTGGTGGGCAACAGCGGACACAGCCCGGGAGCCCTGCCCGGGCCCAGCCCACGGCGCTGACCCCACTGACCCGTCCAGGTCGTCCAGGGAGAAGCGCCGCGTGGAGAAGCGCAGGTAGCTCTCCTTGTAGAACCAGATGGTCAGGGGGTTCCAGTCGGTGACCAGGAACCACTGCCGGATGTCGAACTTGGTGTCGTAGATGAGCAGCGGCGTCTCGATGTACTTCTGCACCACCCACTTGTCCTTGGCCAAGAGGTTGTCCGAGGCCACCAGCTCCAGGATCTCCTCCACGCGGTCCATGCACACGATGTCTGCAAGAGGCAGTGTGGGCGGGGGTTGGGCGGGGGTAAGGGGGTGGGGCGGGCTCTGACCTCAGGTCCAGCCTGCAGCCGGTGCAGCCCCAGGACTGCAGGGAGGACGTGAGGACGGGGAGGGAGCCATGGGACAGCGGCCCTCTGGGAAGCGGGCCGGGGAGTGGCGGGAATGGTGGACAGGGGAGCAGGGCCGGCTCTGGGAAGCCAGCAGGCAGGTGCGTGGGCTGCTCCGCCCACTGGGATGGCCCAGGGAGGCCTCATGCCCACGGGTGACTGGACGAGTGGGGGTGGGCTGGGTGCCTTAGTGCTCACCCCCACCTGGCCCTCCTCCACGCTGCAGGGGGCTACGGTTTCTCACGCTCACCCCCCAAAGTCAGGCCACGTGACTAGTCGTGAGCAGTGACGTCTGAGCAGAAGTGATGTCACTGCTCTGGCTGCAGCACAGACCCTGCGCCCACTTTCCCTGGCAACCCTGAGGCCTGCAGCGAGTGGTGTCACACCGTAGAGGGCGGGCGACTTTGGTGGGCAGAGCCCCCCACACCACCCTCCCATGCCAAGCTGCATGGGCAATGGGCATGAGGAGGGATGAACTTGGTGAGGCTCATTCATGGCCTCGTTGAGAGCCACTGAGGTTTGGGGGCTGTTACGCGGCACAACCTGGCCCTTCCTGACTGATATGAGGGTGGAGGGGAGCTTTCCTCACAAGAGCAGGAGGCTGGTCTCCAGCTGCAGGAAGATGAGACCTTGCCGTCCTGAGGAAAGGCTGGGACAAAGCAACCAGCACTGGCGTGATGCTGAGCTGAGGGCAGGGAAGACTCAGGGGCGGGGACACAGCCAGTGACCGGGAGGAGAGTGGTGCTCTGGGTCCTGACCAGGTGCGTCTGTGGGTGTCCTGGGGGTGCAGCGGGAGAAGGTCTGGCCTGAGGGACGGGAGCAGGGAGCCACCCGCAGACAGTGCCGCCACCCAGAGCCGTGGGCTCAGGCCTAGCACTGCTCCAGCCAGCAGAGAACGTTCTGGGACAGATGACATTTAGGACAGAGTGCAGTCACATCGAATCAACAGATCTTTAAAAGTCACGTAAAAATTAACCACTTGTGAATGTAAAACAATGACAACAACAAAAAATTCAAGGGGCCAACAGAATCTCCAAATGAAAAGAAAAATGTATGTAGAGGCTCAGGAAAATGAGAACATTATATAACAAATAAGAGGGTGCAGCTAAGGCCACATCCCGAGGAGATTTCATAGCCTTGCAGTTTCTTGTTGCACAGGAAATATTGAAAATAAATAAGCTTAGGGTTTAAGTCAGAGCCAAGAGGGGAAATGTCCCTGAAGGAACGCTGAGAAAAAATGTAACCAAAAGCTGTTCTTTGGAAGCACAAATCTACCTTAAAATCTTACTTTTTAAAAAGAGAGAAAGGAGCACACAGCGCCGACCATTGGGAATAAGAAGAGCGTGGTCATGGCTACGACGCGAGAAGATGAGGCATAAAACGGGCACACAGCCACCACGGGCACACAGCCACCACGGGCACACAGCCACCACGGGGACACAGTCACACGGGCACACAGCCACCACGGACACACAGTCACACGGGCACACAGCCACCACGGACACACAGCCACCACGGGCACACAGCCACCACGGACACACAGCCACCACGGACACACAGCCACAACTGCACACAGCACAACACACAGTCACACGGGCACACAGCCACCACGGACACACAGCCACCACGGGCACACAGCCACCACGGACACACAGTCACACGGGCACACAGCCACCACGGACACACAGCCACCACGGGCACACAGCCACCACGGACACACAGTCACACGGGCACACAGCCACCACGGACACACAGCCACCACGGGCACACAGCCACCACGGACACACAGTCACACGGGCACACAGCCACCACGGACACACAGCCACCACGGGCACACAGCCACCACGGACACACAGTCACACGGGCACACAGCCACCACGGACACACAGCCACCACGGGCACACAGCCACCACGGACACACAGTCACACGGGCACACAGCCACCACGGACACACAGCCACCACGGGCACACAGCCACCACGGACACACAGCCACCACAGACACACAGCCACCACGGACACGGCTGACAAGGGGCGGGGCCGCCCCGAGCGCCTGGGCTCGAGGAGGGTCACGAGCAGGAGCCTGTCGCCGGGACCGTCCCATCAACAAGGACGGCAGACCCGCTGGATTGGGGAGAGGAAGGAGCCTCCTAACGAACGGCAGAGCGCAGGGCAGAAGCCGGGGGACAGTCCCGTTAGACGCCTGTTCCCGGGACCAGGGCTGCCGGGAGCCTGGGAGTCTGAGCCCGTGGACCCTGGTGCCCCGCCCACTCCTCACCCCGCAGGGCTGTCCCCGCGGCAGGCGTCCTCCCCGGCACTCACCCGGCAGAGGGCACGGCGGCCTCAGGGCGGCACCGGGGCTGCTCCTGGCCGGGGGCGTGGGCACTGGGGCCCGAATGTCGACCTGGGCCCGGTACAGGCTGCAGGGAGACGAAGGCGGGGCTCCCGTGTGGGGCCCCAAGTCAGTGTGGCCCTTGCAGGCCCGTGTGTCCAGCGGGAGGGGTGCCTGGGATGGCATTCCCCCCATGGGCACCTCCTGGTGAAACGCCAACCTGGCCCAGCCAGGCAGCTCAGTGAGTGAGCCTTGACCTAGGAACCAGGAGGTCATGATTCCGTTCAGGGTCAAGGCCCAGGCCCAGGCTGTGGGCTCGATCCCCAGTGGGGGGCGTGCAGGAGGCAGCCCATCCATGATTCTCTCTCATCACTGATGTTTCTCTCTCTCTCTTCCTCTCCCTTCCTCTGAAATCAATAAATGTTTTTAAAAAATCAATAAAAACATTTTTAAAAAAAATCAATGTTTTGTAATTTTTGGGACGTAAAT